GGTCTCCCGCAGCGGTGGCCGTCGCTCGCTGGGAGCGGCCGGCAGAGCAGCTGGCGCTAGAGGCTCTGGGGCGTTGGCACCGGCCTGGCACAGAGCCCTGCATACAACTCTTCCTGGGCTGGCTGCTTTGCCATCGCCTGCTTGGCCTGCTGTCCGCCTGGGGCAGCCTCGCACGGGCTCCTGACAGGGGGGCCCAGCGAAGGCTACGGGGTCCCTCCTGGGCAGCTCTGAATGGCTCTGGCACCGTGCCAGCTCCGTTCCGGGGACACTGGCTCCCTGGGCCCTCCCCCCCTCCCGGCCTGTTCTCCTGCATTTTCCTAGACGGGGGGAAGTCGGTGGCAAAGTCCTGGGGGAAGTCCTAGGCTGCCCCTGCGGCTGTTTCTCTGTGAGCCCAGCTGGCCGTGGCTCCTGGGCCAGAGGCTGGGCTTAGCGCTGCAGGCTGGGGGCACGGTGCCAGTTCCCTTCCCCCACGCCAGGCACTGGCTTTGTGCCTGACTTGTCTCCAAGTGGAGTTTCCTGCCTTGGCAACTCCTGAGCCAGCTGCTCCCCCTGCAGGGTCTTATTCCCACCTGGGCTGCGGAGACTTGCTGCACCGGAGGGGGCGAATCGGAGTGAGGGCCCCACGTGTGACTGGGAAACGCCCTCTGAGGCCAAATGTCAGAGCAGGGGGCTTCAGGGGCAGAGCCCCCCGGCAGGGCCTCGCCCCAGGACACCTGGCCCCACCCTCCCTGCGGCTCTCTGCTAGGGCTGGGATTCACTCGGGGAAGGGCCCTGACTCAGCCCTGGGTTTTACAGCCTCTTGCGTCCTGGGGGCCCACCCCTGCTCCGGGCAATGGAGGATCCGGCCCATGTGCAGCCGCCCTGGGGCCTGGGCAGAGCCTCCCCGTAATCCTCGCCCCTGAGCCTTAACCCTCTGGCTGCCAGGCTGTGCGTCCCCCTGGGTGTCCCACCAGCCCTGCGACGCCTGCGCCAAAGGCCCCCGGCCCAGCAGAGGAGACAGGCAACGGATGGGCTGGGAACCGAGACCTGGGGGGTGAGGGGATGAGACCAGGGTCACGCTGAGAGTCGGTGTCAGAGCTGAGGGCAATGCCCTGAGCCAGGAGCTAGCCAAGCAGCAGGCCACGGCCCCGCGCGGACAGCGCCAGCTGCTCCTATCCCTGGGGGTAGGAATGAGGCGCCCACGCTCCCACCCGGGCCATGGCTGGAGCCAGCAGGCTGCCGGCCCCTCCCTGCGCTCTGCCCCGGGCAGCCGGGGCCTGTTTCT